CTTACTCTTGTGCATATTGAAAGCTGGTTTTCAACAATGTCATTCCCTGGGTTTAGGGCAGATGCTTGCAGGCAGTCACTTAAGTTTTTAATTTTACATTATGAATTGGGCATGAAATACACACCCGAATTCATACATAAAATATCCTTGGCAAAAATGACATCCCCAATGTAAGTCAATTATTAATGAGCTTGGCTTCTAACTTACTGAGTTTCAATTGCACAAGAGCACTGCTAAGGTTCGGTGTATCCAACAGCAAATGAGTGACTGTTGTCGCATTCCCAGTAGTCTGAGGAAAGCATCAGTCACAGCCCAAGTTATTTCCTAGACCTGGCTGTAACAAGCAAAAGGTATCTATGTATTATGAAGCCACTACCCTAAGGGAAGAGATAAAATTGCATAGCAATAGAATAGCCTAGCAGCCCTGAGTCCTGGGCAAACCAACCCTAGGCTTTTGAGAATTAATGAGATCTTTGGAGGATTAGAGAGACACTTATGCCTCTTCCCCAGCATCTTAGCCATTTTTCAACAATTGGATGCCCATATCCATGTAGTACATACTTCTGTGTTTTCAAAATAGTCTGATCACACTTGTTTTTCTATAAAGAATTTTGAAACCCTTAGATGAAAGGATCTTGACATGAGGATGCAATGTGGCTCTTTCACCTCTAGTTAAAGCAATTGAGGTCAGTTTTCTTTTTTTCCTCCTCATAAGCTGCTATAGTATGTGCTGCTTTAGAATAACACTTTTTTTAAAGTCCACAGAGTAAATATGAAAAAAGACCATAAACAGTTAATATCAAACTGCATTGTTGGGGGGAATTCCTTGCCCAGGAAGTCCCTAAAGCAATGAAACCATCCATCCAGTCACTAGTTCTATTCCTATCCTAACAGAAAAGATAGGGCTACTGAAGGTACATCCTGGGACAGTTTAAGGATGATGTCATAGAGGCCAATCGCTATGTAGTACAACTACTACCATGTATATCATAAGGCCATCATCATAGAAGGATGCATTAGTGGATTTATCCAATCTGATAATTTTGATGTTTTGAAATCTAAGAAAACATGCCTATCCTTGATATTTTAAACTCTGTCCTAACACATATGCTTTCTATGTTATACATTTTCCACTAGAGTTTCTGAAAAATATAATTCCCATTATTATTATTCTTTCTAAGAACTCTCTTTTGTAGCATTCCCAGATAGAGACATAGTGAGACGTAGAGATTCTATCATATTTTGATAGGAAATTCATCATTGCAGCCTTAAATAGATGACAAATAGACATAAAAATTAGTGGACATATGATCTTCTAAATGTTTTATTTTTATTTATGTATTTTATCATTTAATACTACAGTTTAAATAATAATATGCCATTTTAATGTATTATATTACTTTAAAACAAATTATATGAACTCTACCTAACCAGATTTTCTGCATTAACATAGATTCTGATAGATTAAGCAACATACTTTGTTAATATTATTTGTTAAATAATTAAATTTTGTGCCTTCTGTCTATAGTAGAAGACATTTAGTTCAATTTAGATAGGGAATATTTTCTTCACACTGTCAATTTTCTCCAAAATGAGCAACATTCAGAAAATAAGACTTACCTGTCCTGGTGGCTTATTTTAATATATTGATGGCTCTTTGAACTCATCTGCATACTCCCTCCATAAATACTGATTAGAACACATTCATACCTCTCCATTCTGTACAATTCCTGTCTATACCATTCCATAAATCCTTGGTAGAGGATCAACCGAATGTATTTAAGTCCTTTCTCTAGGTCTTTTCATTTTTCACAAATACTATTTCATGATGTGAAACACTCACGCTGTGTCCATCCGGATCCTGTTTATATAACTGCTTTCCCTCTTTTCCAGTCACATTTGTTAAGGTAAATGGCTGTTATACCACTTCTTGTATGCAAATTACTAATTATCTAAACAGTCTACTTCCACTTATCATGAGTCTTTCATTGCCATCTGGGTCACCTGTGCTTTTTTAGTCTTCTGAGATTGTAATTTTCATGAAAAATGGGGAAAATTTGTGTTAAAAAGATGGACTTTGTATAAGGGAAATGTTGGACATCTTTGAAAGACTACATTTATTCTGAAATGATGATCATAGGGCCCATTCAACAGACATAAGTACTGGAATCTACCCCATCTTACAAGATAAGGATAAGCTACCCACATCATTGAGATAGCCTTTTATGTATAGAAACATAAATGTATTTCTACTCACTTTGGTCAGTGTTCTTTTGAAAGCATGTTCCTACTCACAAGTTTCTAAGTTTGGTGCCAGGCAGATCCAGGGACAACCCTGGGATGCTACTATCTTTTCCATCATAAGTTCCAGATCTTGAATCTTTTGAACTTCAAATTATCAATACTTATTCTTTACTAGATTCCCCAAATCATCTTCTGATTCAGGGTTAAAACCACAAGATTTTCTGTACTGTCTCCTTCATCCTGATCCATGATAACAGCTTATCAAACCTTATATTATTTATTATGATTACTTTTATGATTCAGTATGAGACCACATCATGGTTTTACAAATTTGAAGGGGGAGTAATAGTATAATAACAGGATGAAAAATATTTGGGTTCACAATTTACAGAAACCCTAATAGTTACTCCTGTTCTCACACCAGGTATATATGCCATATTTCCTTCGCCATTCAATTTGTTTTCCTGATCTGAGCCTTTATGTTACCTAAGTTTTACTCAATGAGTATGGAATTGCCCTTTTCAGTCTTCAAGCATCTGCTTCTTCAGCCCACTCTGAATCTGGGCTTAGAGTCTTCCCTTCTATCATCCCAAGTTTTATCATAGAGGCACTTCACTTGCAACCCACTAGCCAAAACTGTTACCATCAGAAGCCATTCCTCCTGTGATTTTTGCCTTATTCTAAAAGCCATCTAAAAAACTGATGCAGAATGAGCTGAATCTTTTTAATGGAACTTTAACCAGTAGTCATTGATTAAAAAAAATAAGTAAACTTTACCCAAAAAAAAAAAAAACCCACCTCTTCTTCCTATTCCATTTGATCATGAGACTTCATGACTAGGGTCTTATAGGAACTTCCTGGACCTTTAGCACCCTGTCTTTACTCCATAGCTTCTTTAATTAATTTAGGTTTCCAGGTGGGTCTACCCATAATATTCTATTATTGACTAAATTCAAATAATAGAAGCACTCGGGCCAATAAGGAATATTTTTTTTTCACTTGTGAGCTAAGGGTAAAATGAAGTCCCGCCTTCAGGTTATGAGTCATTAATCCCTTAATCTAGAGATAGATCCTGAACACTACATATTATAATCATTACAATCATAAAAACTGTGGGTATATTATCAAAATTCCCTAACTCCTCTCCTTTTTCCTTTTGATTCTCCAGTAAATAAACATGACTATCTAACCTTACTAAGTCACAAGAAAAAGGATAACATACCACAGACAGTTTCTATGCCTGAAACCAGAGGAAAATTCCCCCAAAATGATCCATTTCTTTTTTTTAAACTAGAATCTAGGATGACAGTTACCAACTGTTGACAGGAGGTAACTGAACAAGGAAAGAGTAGCTAGGATCATCATTATTTAGATGCTATATAAGGATCCAGAAACTCTTACAAAGGTGGATACAATGCAACCTTCTGGATCATGAGACTGGAAGAAAAAGAAAAGTGGAAGAATGTATCATCTCTTTGGGGGCAGATAGGTGGTATAATAGATAGAGCACCGGGCCTGCAGTAAGGAAGACTCATCTTCATGAGTTCAAATTCAGCCTCAGACACTTACTAGCTATGCAGCACTGGACATGTCACTTACCCCTGTTTACCTCATTTTCCTTATCTTTAAAATGAGCTGGAGAAGGAAATGGCAAACCACTCCAGTATCTATGCCAAGAAAACTCCAAATGGGGTCACAAAAAGTTGAAAATGACTTAAACAACTGAAGGACAACATTATCTCCTTACTGGACACATGTGCTGCTCCTCTCAGTCAGTTTGTGAGCTCTCACTTGTTCCATTTAGAATTTTGTACATCTGGATGGAGGTAGTGGTGTTGTTTTTCCTCTTCCTAGTTTTTCCTATCATATCAGCAATAGAATTGCCTGCGCAGAGGTATCCATAAATTATACTGCAGTCTAGGAGTTTCTAGTGTCTGGAAAGCTTGGAACAAAAGGCAGAAATGCAAATGGGAACTGTTTAATTCAGTGAGTATATGTGCTGTTACCCAGGTGCCAATGACATCCCTCTGACCAGCATAGAGGCACCAGGGACCAACCCAGCATACATTTTTAATGTGCTCAGCTGTGACAGCATATACACAAAGAAGACCTTAAGGCCTTAAAGTCGTCCTCTTGGAAACCACTGCACTTTTAGGGGGCCCAGAAGAAATGGTTTAATTAATCTTCTTTTTCAGGATCGCTTTTTTATATGAATTATGTACACTGAAAACCTGCCAATTATAGCAAATTAAGGGACTTGGCAAGTGCATCCCTTGGAGGCAGATGGTAAATAATATTCAGATTCTGACTTGAAATAGGCCTAGAGATTAGTCAGTGGAGAATTTAAAAGCAATCCAGATATGTGAAAGAAATGGATTTAATGTGAACCTAAGAATAGGTTATTGTTTTGGGGTGGTAATGATGATATGCTAAAATTGATGATTCATAAATAATGAGAGGTACCCCGTGAGTGGCAGCAGTTTCTGATGCCCTCTCTCTGTTGGCATTTGTGGTTTTTTATGAATACTTATTTATTGTGCTCTTCTATGACTACATAAAATAAACAAGGCACAGCCCCCCTTTCCTTTTTCCTGAAGGCTGGCAGAAATTGATACACTGAGTGAAATCTCAGAACTGAATGGGGCAAATCGAAAGACTGTTCCTGCAAATAGAATAAGGGCCATGTTTAGATGAATGTTCTAAGTGATCTCCTGGGAAGGAACTGAAAGAAAGCAATTGGTCAGGGCTCAACTCACCTTTCAACTCCAGAGAACTCAGTTTGTGCCTGGGTTTAGTTGCTCCAATAATGAGCGTGACGATCTCAGTTTATTCCCCTAATAGCCGTTTCTCCTTTTCACTAATTTGCCACAGAAACAATTCAGAACAATTGGCAGTCTCAATAACAGACTCCAGGCTGGAAAACAACAGGAATGGTGCCAGTTAAAATGGAGGTGTGTTGGCAGAGCCAAAAAGAGAAGGGGAAGCTTACCCAGCATCTGCTTGCACTCTGCCTCCCTCCATTCCATACAGCTTTGCAAAGCCATCCCAAATCCCACTCAGCCTAAGGACAGAAATCTTTCTGGAGATCCGAGCCCCAGAAGAGACAGATCTCAAAGTCAAGTGCATGGTTAGTCATTTAATTCGTGTTCGGCCTGGGATACTAAATTTAGGAAATGACTCAATCATCATCCACAATTACAGCTATTTTCGAGGCGGTAAGTGATGCAGTACACCAGTACTGATGCAAAAGCATACCCCAATTAGTTTCTGCAAATACTCTTCCTGCAACAGGGCTTGTTTCCTAGGAGCCTTCAATCTAATTACACAGCTTGATTTTCCCTCAGGGCCCTCCTTGCCGGATGATTTCATTTTACACTTAGGCTAACCTTTGCTGTCAGTGATGTCACTGGAGTGCACCTTCTCGGGAGAGGCTCATATGAATACACTAAAAGGTTAATTTGCTTGATATTTGGTTAAAGAGGCTTTCCCTACTACAGGGGTCCCATTCTGCTTTAAATGGGTAGTGGTATAAAGCCATCTTCTTCAGATGGCAATTTGCACCCAGCCAGCACTAACAGAGCTTTATATACTAACTATCCAGAAATCACTCAGATGGAAAATAACTGCTGAGGAAGAAATCTGTGGATCTTTTCTCCAATTCACATTATTCACTCAAAGAGACTTAGCATATTTCTTAGTGGTTTTTCTCATAAAAACAAGAGCTGCAAGGCTCAGTGGAAAATGTAAACAGTTACACCGCAGGGGGAAAAAAATTGTGTTCAACTGTCTTAAACCATCTGACTTATAAAGTAGGAAGCAAGAGTAACTCACACACAGAAAGCCCATCATCATTATGCCCCAAGTGCAGAATGCATATAATGACTACATATGGTACCACTTTCTGGTACTCACCTGTACTTCCCATCACTCTCTGTGCATGGGAATTGCTGTATAAGACTAAACATGGTTTGGGGGAACAAGCATAACCCAACGTTTAAAGCCATCTGCAAAACTGATGCATAACACAATGAGCTGAAATTGACATTAAGCCTGTCCCATGCCAATATTACTAATTGAAAAAGAAAAAAATTATAGCAACTTTTTTTCTATTTAAATGATAACAAATACCTGGTCCAACTGATTAAAAAACCAACAACAACACTGATTCTGTGTCAGGTTAGATATGATATTTGACTTTATTCTTTCATTTTTCTCTTGCTAGAAGAACCTTCAATCTTCCTTCTCCTTAGTGGAGTTTTCCCTCAATTTCGGTTTTCAGCTTTATAATTTTGCCTAAAGCAGTATTTTCCTCAAAATTAAAATGTTTCCTTCTATAAGATTTTAACATTTATCCATAATATTATTTTGCTTGTTTCAGATACACAATTTCTAACAATTTGATCCTTGTACTAATACGTTTTTTCATATCCTGCCTTTGACACACATTAGCTCTATCACCATTGGCAAGTCACTTAACTTCTCAACGACTCTAGAAACTCTCTAAGATTATAAATTGTAAAGAAGCTTATGGTTTGAATTGCTGGAAGGAGTTTTCACAGTAGTTTTCATCCCAACATTACATATATATATATATATATATATATATATATATATATATATATATATATATATATATATATATATATATACACACACACACATATACATACATATATACATATACACATATACACATATGTATATATGTGTTTGTATATGTGTATATATGTGTATACACACAACCACACACATACATATATTGGTCTAGACCAATAGAGAAAAAAAAAATGTTGCTACTGCATGGACTGAATTTCATGGGGGCAATCCTTAGAGTATGAATTCACAGGTACCAGCCTAAGTAGGAAGAGCCTAAAGAGTCATTCCTCCACCAGGAAATACAAAGCAGGTTTTTATTTGTTTGTTTGTTTTGGTTTTGGTTTTGGTTTGTTTTTTTTTTTTGCACAAGATGCCTCATCCAACACTTATCGTGGCATCCTACATATAACTGAACTGAAGAGCAAAGTTGCTGAATGAGGAATATATAAAATTCTCTGACACCTTGTCAGTCATGGAGTTGGTGTTAGGATTCTCTATGGCTATGACAGTGGAGTGTCAGTTTTTGTAGCTTAAAACTCAAGCTCATACTCAAAGCTTTAATAGATTGGTAGAGTCTACAAAAACTGACATTCCACTGTCATAGCAATAGAGCATTTTGTCACCAAGGTCTAGTCTCCTCATTCTGGATTGTCCATATTTCCTTGGGGCATTATCACCTTTGAACATCCCTTGGCCAAGCTAGAGCACTTCTCCTGTTGGTGAGTTCCTCTCAGAATCTCCATTTGAGGAAAGGGCCAAGACTAGTCAACCTTCATTCTTTTCCTGGCTCTGCTCCTGATTTTCTAGACTTAGAAACCAATAGCTTGGATATCACAGTTATTCAGGTCCCTTGTGTGTATGGTCTTGCTTCATTAGAATATAAATACCTTGAGGGCAGGTACTATCTTTTTATTGTTTTTATTTGTATCATCTGTTCTTAGCACAGCATCTGCATAATAAGTACTTAATAAATATTTGTTGCAAAGTCTATCCTGCTCTACAGGAAAATAGAAGGGGAAGGGGATAAGAGAAGGGAGGGGGGAGAGATAGAAGAGAAGGCAGACAAGGGGAAGGGGTATTCAGAATGCATGCCATCTTGGGGTGGGGGGAGGGGTGAGAAATTTGGAACTCAAAAACTTGTGGAAGTGAATGTTGAAAACTAAAAATAAATAAATTTATATTTAAAAAATAAATGAATGAATTAATGAATGAATGAATGAATGAATTTTTGTTGCCTTTCTGCCTATAAATTCACAGTGGTTCTATACCAGGACTTCATCCACCAGGGGCTGATCTTCTTGGGCCACATAAATTCATAAAAATTAATAAAAAGTCACAGAAATAGTGAAATCAAAAGGAAGAATGGGTTTAGGAATAAAGCTCACCTTCAGAACTGAACTGAAGAATGACCAGAAGGACATGTAAGGTGAAGAATATAGGGTGAATAAGTGGAGTGCAGCATGTTACCAGCAATTATTTATATGCAAAACAACATTCAAAAAATTGAGAATGCATAACAGAAGAAAGGGAGGTAGACCAGTCAATCATATAGTAAGAGGAATGGACAGCAGATGGACAGACTAACTACTGGACTGGTACCCATAAAATATAGATTTTAAAAACCTATAGAAATGAATCCATCTGGTTGGGTAGATGTTCTTTAGAGGATTTATGGATGGTGAACAAGAATCATAGGAAGATAATTTCTAGATTAGGGGAAAGAATTGTTGTTATCTTAGGGGAAAGAGATGACAGATCCATTACTTAATTTATAAAGATTTATTGACATTTTGATTCTTACATAATCATAGTATCCCATGTATTCCTTTCCCTACCCATTTCCTTAAGAGTCATGCAATATGACAAAGAGTGTTGTTTTTAAGAGGGTAAACTAAAAATCAACACAACTGACAAATATATTGAAAAGTCTGAGGGGAATGGAGCTAGATGGCAGGGAAAGCTAGGAAGTTAGCTGAGTTCTTCCCAGTTTCCCTCAGAAACAACATTAAATCAAACCTTTAAATGGATTCTGGAGCAACAGAACTTACAAAAAATCAGAGTAAAACAATTTTCTAGGTTATGATAATGTGGAGAGACTTCAGGAAAGATCTGTCTCACTTGGTTAGGAGAGCAGCACAGCCCAGTTCAGACAGTGTCCTGGCAAACCAGCAGGAGGCTCTTAGCTTCAGGACAGATTAGAAACTGAGACCGCTGTGTCCTGACTCAGCAGGCCAGCAATGAGGCCTACCGCCCCAGCATAGAAGGTAAATTGTGAGCCTAGGAACCCTTGGGAAACAGCTTGGAAAAGAAAGGACAAAAATTGACTGAGGAATACAATTCCTTAAAAAATAGAATTGGCCAAATGGAAAAGGAAGTACAAAAGCTAACTGAAGAAAATAATTCCTTAAAAATTAGAATTGGGCAAGTGGAAGGTATTGACTCTATGAGACATAAAAAATAAGTCAAATAAAATCAAAAGAATGAAAAATAGGAGAAAAGGTAAAATGCCTCCTTGGAAAAACAATTGACCTGGAAAACAGATTCAGGAGACACAGTATCAGAATCACTGGACTACTGGAAAGTCATAATCAAAAGGAGGACCTGGACAGCATCTTTCAAGAAATTATCAAGGAAGACTGCCCCAATATCCTAGTGCCAGAGGGTTAAAATAGTAATTGAAAGAAAGGTGATCAGTGAAATGAAAACATTCAATGAAACAGGAGACTTTCAAACTTTCCTGATGAAAAGACCAGAGCTGAACAGAAAATTCAGTCTTCAAATACAAGACTCAAGAGGAACATAAAAAGGTAAACAGGAAAGGGGAAAAAAGAACATGTTATTCAATAAGGTTAAAATATTTACATGCCTACATTGGAAGATAATACTTGTAACTCTTGAAAACTATTTCTATTATGGCAGTTATAAGGGGCATACATAGATATAGTATGTGAATATAAGTTAATTCTGATGTGATGATACAAAAAAAATTAAGAGGTAGAAAGAGGTGTATTGGGAGAAGAGGAAAGGGGGACATAATAGGGTAAATTACATCACATCAAGAGGCACAAAGGACCTATTACAGTAGAAGGAAAGAGGGAAGAAGGGTGAACATTGTTTGGATCTTACTCTCACCAGATTTGGCTCAAAGAAGGAATAACATACACACTCAGTTGTGTATAGAAATTTATCTTACCCTATAGGGGAGTAGGAGGGGGAAAGGGAAAGAAAAGGGAGGGGGTTGGATACAAAGGAAGGCAACTTGACTGGGGTGGTGGTCAGAAGCAAAACAATTGTGAAGAAGGACAGGGTGAAAAGAGACTGAAGTAAAAGAAGGGGAGAAAATAGAGTGAGGGAAATATATAGTTAGTAATCATAACTGTGAATGCAAATGGGATGAATCCTCCAATTAAACAAAAGCTGATAGTAGAATGGTTTAAAAAATGAATCCCATGATATGTTGTTTACAAGAAAACATTTGAAGAAGAGACACAGACAGAATGAAGGTAAAAGGCTGAAGCT